CATCACATGCTCAAACTTACAGGTTCTTTCAGATGAACAGGCTATATAATCATGTTGCTGACTGATTGCATTGCAATATAAAATGATTAATTATAGACCTAAGAATTAATAAAAAATCACTTTGCATTTAGATATATTTGTTTGGGGCATTAAACATTACATCCACGCAGCAAAAATATGCCTCAAATCCCACTGCACTATGTTACTACATTTAAAGTCCTAATGGTTGTTGTTATTACGCCATAAAGATGCTGCCATATTGGATTATCATCATCATCTTCAACATTACTAAAAACATCCTGAAGGATGTGTGTTGTTGTTTCCAAATAATCACCATGTTTATTTGGACAACAACCTTTTTTCCTCAATGCTGCAGAAATTGTCCTCAATTTCTGCAGCTTCTACCACACTGCAATGCCTATAATTGAACAATGGTACAACAACATTACAGGCGGATACCCACAGCCTCACTAATCTACATTTTTAAAGGCCAAATCATTCAGTAATAATAACATAATTTTTTTTTTTCAATATCTGTGAGTAATTTTCTGGTTACACCTAACTTTATAGGATGTAACACCTTAATAACCAGTTAGATGACCCAGTTTCACATCCCATTTCCTTTTAATGAACCATTATAACCACACCTAAAGGAATTTAATTGTTTTGGTTTGGACAAGTAAAATACTGATGTGTATACAATGTCAAACAGATGCATTAATGTGACCTCTTTCACCTCCGTTGACCCAAGATCAGGCGTGGGCAAACTTTTTTGACTCGCGAGCTATAATGGGTCTTAAAATTTGACAGTGGGGCAGGACAGGAGCAGTACATGGAGCATTCAGATAAACTAAGATGAACGACAAATGATAAATGTAAAGGTCATAAAGTCACCCCCCCTTACTAGCTCTAAATTGCACCTCTTATTATTATTGTTGTTATTTTATCATTATTACTACTACTAATGCTACTGTGTTTATTTGTCCTGTTTGTGTCTTTTTAAAGTGTATTGTGATTTTTATCATTTCATCATTTTTATCATACGTTTACTAGCCACCATCAGCTTACTGTTGGCTACCTTGATGCATGTTTGAACAACTGTGGGTTATGTTTGACAAATTTGAATTATCCTTTGACATTTTTGGCTAAGTGCTTTAGGGCTTGCGACCAGCTTCTGCTTGTCAAATCTGCAGTTAACAACCATGTGAAACAGACAAATTGGTGTAGTGAGAACACAACATGAAATACTACAAACATTTCTATTGTTTGTGCAGCTACAGCAGAGTAAACAGTGGCGGGGCAATAAGTGCAACCAATGCAACCAATCTTAAGCCTCATGGTATGTAAATTGTAGATAGGGTGTTGTATATATTGTATATATATTATTGGAAACAAAAGTGGGTTATCCAGAGAAGTTAGAACTACATTAAAGGCGGCCAGATTAGGTAACAGCAACCTGGCCTGAGAAATGCTGCAATAATTATTTTTCTACTTTTTTACGAGGAAATAAATTAGATGCACTCTACGTAGAGTCAGAGGAAAGAATGGAAGATGAATATAAACAAGCACTGATTAACCACCAAACTACTTCAAATACATGGGCTTTAATATCACGGCCGATCGATATTTTTTGCTTTCCTACTGTCAACCACAGATGCGACGCAGATCAAGAAATAAACCACACCTACCTCGATAGCGGCTCTTCGCCAGAAATAGATATATCCATATGAATTGTCAATGCAATCCAATCGGTCATGATTTTAAAAAGCAACTAAAAAGCAAACAGCATGTGAATGTGAGAAGGGACAGCCCGACAGCGTTACGTTGCACAACCGCCTAACCCAAGTTCTTGTAGAGTTGTTATGAACAGCCGGTCAAAGCAGTGAGCGTACGTGTGCGTTCATGTCTATATGTGTGTGTGTGTGTGTGTGACTTCACATCCTCCGCCACCACTGGCTTGGAAACAGTGTGTTACGAGGTTGAGGAAAGGAAAGTAGGTCAACTGGTAGCTCAGTACCAGGCTAACATAGACAGTTACATTAGCAGCAGCAGCAGGGGCTACAGTATACACAAATGAACAGGACGAGGGAAAAGGATGCACACAGCCTCGTCTTTAAAATCACTATGTCAAAAAAGCACCAGGTTATAGTTTTTCGAACAGGGTTTGTTGTCTTGTAAATTAGTTCACAAACAATAAAAAAAATACACATGTAAATTAGTTCACAAACAATAAAAAAATATCACTTTATTGTTCATATCTTGTTAAAACGCTTGCCTAGAAGATGTCTGGTTGATTCCGGTCTTTCTGTGTGGAATTTTCACACCCCGGTTTCCTCACACAGCACAAAATCATACACATGGGGATTAGACACTTCACTATACACTATAATCACAGTTTTGAAACGTGTGTATGGTTGTTGTGTTCAATGTGGGGCCACCATCGCCACTCCCGAGACTCCTGAAAGGGATTTATGTAGGTATGTAACAACTGTAATTGTAAATAAGTAATTCTGACAAAAATTTGCCAGGAGTTAACCGTTAAAGTGCACAATATAACAGGTTAAATTAAGTACAATACATTTTAGTTTGAAAATTATCCATATATTTGTTGTTGCTCTATATGACTGCTTTGTTGCCATCTCAAAAGTACAGACCTATTCTATACCAAATTAATTTCTGTTCTAAATTTAATGACCGAACGCACTCCCTAAATAGAATCATTTGTTTTGGAAGATGAAAGGCACAAAACAAATAACATACATAATAAAGAACGGATTAGTTTGAGATTTAAAAAGATAGAACGTTGAGTGACAAAGTCCACTGGAGGGCGCTAACACAAAGCACCAGGTGGTCTGAAAGCAGGAGGCCATTCACCAACCTGTTTTAGCTACTGTTAGCCAACCGGCGGCTAAAAGCTAAGATATCGGTTTGTCTTGTAATGTCGCCTGTCTTATTAAGCGATGGCAAGAGAACATTGCTCACAGACCGAAGCTGGTAAGTGTTTAGCTGTTCTTCAATATCTGACACTACATTTTATATGCATATAATATGCAGGAGTACTTAAAATCGAAAGCTAAGTAATGGGGAGCATCCCAGAGGCTGGCTAACGTTACGTTAGCAAGTACTAGCATAACTCTTTTTTCTTTTCAGATCTGTATTTCCTGATTGCCAGATTTCTAGAGTCTGGACCTTGTAAAAAAGCAGCAAAGGTAACAGCCGACGACAAGTGTAATATGTTCCAGTCAACTTTTACAAACACAATTGTTGCAGCTAGTGCTAACTTCCAATGCTAACCGCGTCTGTGTATGTGTGTGTTCAGATCCTGATTGAGGAGCTTGAGGAGTATGAGGTAAGTTTAGGGACACCTCTTTATCGTTGTGTCTATTTTTTTTTGTTGATGCCGCACATCTGGTCGCTATTTATACTTCATTTATATGTTGTTTTGCGGCTGCATTGTGACAAAGAGCGGGGTTTCGATACGGCACCAGAGTAGCTGTGTAGTAATTTTTTTAATGTTGTCTTTTAACTTTAGTTGGTTCCTCAACGATGGAGTTGGGACGGACAGAAATACACACGGACCTTTCAGGACTGGGTGAGTGAAAATTGTCATGTCAACCGTTTTAAAAAGAAAGCGATCGCATTTTCTAAAGTAAGTCATCATCAATTTTCTTAGTCATCGATGTTTTATCGATTTATTACGGTGGCCGGTGGTAGAAAATGTATTAATACTTGATAATCGAACATTTATATTTGTGCACCATGGTTGTAAATATTCAGGCTTTGCTATTGTGTCGACAAAAGGGCGGACGAGAGACGAGGAAAAGTCGCCATTGGCGGAACAGGCAGCGTCAATCTTCCGTTTAGCCAATAAGATCACAGGGGTCGTTTTGAGTGAAGTTTAAGGCACTGTTTTGATTGGTTAAGAGCGTCTTTGTCCTTCCCACCCCTATGTTTTCAGCCATCAGTAAGATTAAATTGTCTTCTGGCTGTAAGATTTTTGTTAATTGTTTTTTTTTTTAATTTTGATGAATTGTTGCAATACAGTTTATTTAATTTCAAGTAAAATCCCAATCATTTCAGTGCTAAATTAAAGATGCTTTTTCAGCATCAAGACTTTGTAGCGCAGTTATAGGGTTCCCACGTGCCATACAGTAGCTGTTATACAAACCTACATATGTCTATGTCTGATGTATGAGGAGTGAACGACAATTCGAAAATTGTGATTTCCGCAGGTGATTCTGAACCAGCACATTCCTGCAAACTACCTCTTGCGTGTTTGTCAGCGAATAGGACCCCTCATTGAGAAAGAGATACCGACTTGTGTTCCCAAAGTGCAAACACTACTGGGCCTTGGAAGACAGTCCTTGCTTCGTACCAACAAAAGTGAGCTTCTGTCTTTCATCAAAACATTTTGTGCAATGTCATTATATAATTAGTGTTGTTAATACAAGCTGTAAATATACATGAGATTTGGTAAAATTAATTTCATACTAATTACTCATGGCCCTTTTACGGCACCACCTGTTCTAGGCTGTAGCCACAAAGTATGCAGCGGCTCAGCTGTTGCTGCACTCCACCGAGGACGACCACCAGAACCACCTGTCAAAAGTGGAGATGCTCCCAGTGTTGGTGTGTAACCTTTTTTTCTATTTACTTGTTACCACGGCAAACACCACAAATGTTTGCCATCATTTAAATGCTTATACTAATGGGCTACATTTTGTAGTAGTAGTTCATTCTGATGTTTACTTTAATTTTCAGCCCTCTGTTTTTACCATGTCTACATGACTAAATGTGATTTGTGGATTAGATTTCATCATTCAGATTTCATCTTCACAACAGCTCTCAGTTTAACAGCTTTACCAATTTAGCTGTTAGTTAGATGCTGTCGATGTTGAACTACTTTGAATTTAGCTGAATTAGCAGACTGCTGTATATGGTCTTCATTTTTCCCTTTCCGTGTCTTAGTGTCCATTTTGGGTGCCCGCCAGGCCACCGGCACAGCTCGGTTTGGCCAGGTCTTCCCGTCTTCTTCATACCAACACATTAAAGTACACAAACGCATTCTTGGTCATCTATCCTCAGTCTACTGTGTTGCATTTGATCGCACAGGACGTCGGATATTTACGGTGAGTTAAGGGTTATTACAAGGCTTTAGAAAAGTGTTTCTGTAGTGAGTTAAGGGTTATTACAAGGCTTTAAAAAAGTGTGTTGAGTTAACATCTTTGAAAAGAACTAACTTTACAGACCATTGAAATACAGTGGAAACCAAATTGCAATTTTTAAATTAGGTTTTGTATTTATTCATATCAATTTATCTTTAAACTAAAGACTGTTTCACTGGAACTAATATCAGACTGGTGTGTCTCCTACTTGTGGTAATGTTTAATTACTCTATTACTCATGTTTGACACTACACAGGGTTCAGATGACTGTCTGGTGAAAATCTGGGCTACAGACGATGGCCGGCTTCTGGCAACCCTCCGTGGCCATTCAGCAGAGATCTGTGATATGACTGTCAATTATGAGAATACTCTCATTGCATCCGCCAGCTGTGACAAAGTAATCAGAGTGTGGTGCCTGCGAACATGTGCTCCAATAACTGTTCTGCAGGCTCATGCTGCCTCCATCACATCCATACAGGTCAGAGTGGGGCACCTATAAAATCCTGCCAGCACATTTGAAAAATATAATATAATAATTGTTTATTTGTTTCAATCTTTTGCTATTTATGTAATTCTACATGTTAAATGTGTTTTAATAGGTGCCAGAAACATTAGTTTTCAACCACTGAAAAGAGTTGAGCACTCGCTCTTTTCAGTGGAACAATTCTAGCACCTTCTCTGTTATCTAGGATTTAACCTGCTACCCAGTGATCTATTTCCCAGTAGACATTTTTCATTTAATTCAGTTGAATTGTTTTTTTTTTTTATTGGATAGTACTTACCACCTGTGTTTTTCTGGCCCTGTAGTTTTGTCCTGCTGTCAAAGGGACAACACGGTATCTAGCCTCTACAGGTGCAGATGGCATGGTGTGTTTTTGGAAGTGGCACTCACTCAGCTTGAAGTTCAAGTAAGACTTTCTTTACATTAAATTGTCAAATAACATTGTCATTCAAATGACTATCGATGTGCTTTTTGATCTACTTAATGGAACTAATTACAAGTTCTCTGTTTTAAATAAGTGATCAACCTGTCAAGTTTGTTGAGAGGTCTCGTCCAGGAGTTCAGGTCTCTACTTCCTCATTCAGCAGTGGTAAGTGCACATATAATATTATTTTTATAAAAAAACGAATGTCCAATAATAAAACCAATTCCTTAACCAATGTGTTTAAACTTCCTTTATTGTAAATAGGTGGAATGTTCATGGCAACAGGTGGCACTGATCACATGATCAGAGTGTATTACCTTGGTGCTGACTCACCTACAAAGATGTCTGAGATGGATGGCCATACTGTAAGAAGTAAAATGATGTAACCATATGTAATTTACCTAAACTCTATTCGCCTAAAGTTTTATTTTTCTCTGTTTGTAGGATAAAGTGGTGGTTGTCCAGTTTAGCAATAACAATGACAGGTGTGTATGCATGCAAAGATTAAGACAAACCTGAAACATTTTTGGTTATTTTGGACAACTTACAAACTTAAACATGGATATGATCTTTTAGCCTCAGGTTTGTAAGTGGAAGTCGGGATGGTACGGTCAAGATTTGGCAATACCAGCAGCAAGAGTGGAAGAAAATGACTTTAGACATGGCTGCCAAGCTGCCTGGGTAAGTCTTTCATCTGTCAATCTTTCTTTCATGACCCTCTTCAGCCATTTAAATTAAGTGTTTCTTCTGTTGAACTGTGTTGTATATTGAACTGCCAATTTGTTTGTATGCTTTTGATTCCATAGCATTGAATAGAGTATATTTGAGTATTTGAGAAATTTAAATATATTTGAAGATTTCAAAGATGGATTTTCAGCCAGAAATACTTAAACCCCTATTTATGTTCCTGTGTTTTTTTTCTAGGAGTACTGTTGTTACTGGGGATGATAAGACGAAGCTGGTGGTGACGATGGTGGCTTGGGACCGTGCAGATAGCACAGTGATCACAGCAGTGTCAAACTATCTGCTTAAAGTGTGGAGCACAGCGTCTGGACAGCTGTTGCATGTTTTATCTGTTAGTAACCTTAGTCTACTTTCACGAAACGAATGCAAGCTAATTCTGGTCAAAATGCTTAATTCTATATTTGTTTTTCTTTCAAGGGTCATGACGATGAGGTGTATGTGCTGGAGGCTCATCCGTTTGATTCTCGCATTATGTTATCTGCTGGCCATGATGGCAACATTTACATCTGGGATCTGACTAAAGGAACTAAGATCCGTAACTTTTTCAACATGGTAACTGATTGATATTTAATAATAATAATTTTGAGTATTGTTTGTCAGTACTTCAAAGTTCATGTCTTTCCTTCAGATTGAAGGCCAAGGACACGGTGCTATTTTTGATTGTAAGTTCTCCGCCGATGGCCAACATTTTGCCTGCACTGACTCACATGGCCATTTGCTCATCTTTGGCTTTGGCTGCAGCCAACCTTATGAAAAGGTAACTAAAAAGTTTTCCACCCTGTTTTTTTTACTGAAATAAATTTAACAGAATGGTATCTCAAATGGTAGCTGTAAAAACATATGTCAGAAGCATATCCACTCATATTGACAAAATACTTAGGCTAATGAGAATTTAAATTGGAATTAACACTGTTAGCCTGCATGTGGTTGAACATAGATGTTTTGCCATTGTGTCCTCCATTATTAACACAACAGCATTTTTGGCCCTCACTAGATTCCTGACCAGATGTTCTTTCACACGGATTATCGGCCTCTTATTCGGGACTCAAATAATTACGTGTTGGACGAGCAGACTCAGCAGGTCCCTCACCTCATGCCTCCACCCTTTCTAGTGGACGTTGATGGAAATCCTCACCCTCCTCACTTTCAGCGTCTGGTGCCAGGAAGGGAAAATTGCATAGAGGATCAGTTGGTACCTCAGCTGGGATACATGGCTAACAGTAAGATCCCTCTTTTTACCCTTGTCCAGAATGCCATTGTAACAAAATGACTATAAAAGTTTGACCCAATATCTCTGTGTGGTTTAGATGATGGAGAGCTGGTTGAGCAGGTGATCGGCCAGCAAACATCTGAAAACAGAGAAAGCTTGTTGGACAATCTCATCAGACAGTTACAGAACGAGCAGGATGGCCGGCATAATGTTGAGCCTGAAGCTGAAAATGCAGGAGGTGTGTTCCACTACTTTTACTAAATGATCATCAGATAGATTATAGATATTTTTGGAAAAATAAATTTGCTAAATGTTTTGTGTCTGTTGTTAGCTGGTGATGCAGCAGAAGTGGTAAGCTCGCCGACTGCACAACAAAACAGAGGGCAGGTTGATGGGGTGTATCAAATGCAGCACAACACACTTCAAAGTCAAGTTGCCACTGAGAGGGACCTGCTGGCCTGGAGCCGCCGCGTGGTGGTAAATGACATACCGCAAGGAATATTCAGGTGAGACGGGGGGAATGATGCTACATAGTGCCACAAAGCATAATATAAAGGCTAAAATGTCACTGTTTATCAGTGCAAACTGTTGTCTGAGTTTAATATACTATAAGATGGTCA